CATCACGTTGACGGAGCTCCCCGTATCGATGTAAGTACGGTGGATGATGGAGTCACCGATCTCACATCGGATGACGAGGGCGTCCCTGTGTGACTCCGTACCCGGAGGCAGATCCTTGTCGGTGAAGGTGATCGCCTCCGTTCGCTGCTTCTTCGGCTGGGGGGGGACGTGGGACACCTCTCCAATGTAAAGGGATTGGGCCCATTTCTTTCTCTGAGTGGCGGAGTCCCCCCCAGTGTTCCCGCCTACGATGAGGTGGATGTGATTCTTCTTCGGCGGAGGCTCCTCGAAGTCCTCGTCGTCGCTGAGCCTACCAATCTCGCGCTTCTTCGCAGAGGGTTCGCCCCCACGTTTGCCGGTGTTTACCCAAGTGTTTTTACGTGGGCCACCTTTGACAAACTGGGAGAGTTCCCCCTGGCGAATAAGGCGCTCGATGGCCTTCTTCAGTGTGATGCAATCGTCGGTGTTGTGCGACGAGTTCTTGTGGAACCGGCAGTACGTGCCGCCCTGCTGGATGGCCAGGATCTCCTCGGCCGGCCGAGGAGCCTGCTCGATGAGGCAGTGCTTCTCGGCATAATCGAGGATGGTGCCGACCGTGTGGGTGAGGGCTACCCCCGGCCGTTCCAGCCTCGGCCGCCAGTGGCGGTCTTTCTTACTTTGTCCACCAGAGCCGTGGCGGCCCTGGGCACCCTGGCCGGCCGGGGACGGTGTAATACTTGAGATTTAATTTAAACGGATTAATAGTACTACTTATACCAACAGAGGTGCATCTCCTTTTAAGGGAGCTCATCACCCAAGAACTCCAAAGTTAAGCGTGCTTGCACGAGAGTAGTCTTGGGATGGGTGACCCCCTGGGAAGTTTCTCAGGGCGCGCATGAGTGAGGACAAAGTGCGCGGTAAAGGCTCGTGGTGGTTTGTGAGGACAGTACTATTGGTCTAGAGTGGCTACCTCGGGTCCTGCGAGGCCGGGGTGTTACAAATGGTATCAGAGCAACCCTGTGACAGTGTGCTGATCCGTTGGATATCGGGCGGGCACTTAGCAGGGGAAAAGATTCTGGGATATGATTGAGATTGGTTTATGAGCGCAACGAGGGAGTTGCGTTCCTAAGTGGGGGTGATTGTAATACTTGAGATTTAATTTAAACGGATTAATAGTACTACTTATACCAACAGAGGTGCATCTCCTTTTAAGGGAGCTCATCACCCAAGAACTCCAAAGTTAAGCGTGCTTGCACGAGAGTAGTCTTGGGATGGGTGACCCCCTGGGAAGTTTCTCAGGGCGCGCATGAGTGAGGACAAAGTGCGCGGTAAAGGCTCGTGGTGGTTTGTGAGGACAGTACTATTGGTCTAGAGTGGCTACCTCGGGTCCTGCGAGGCCGGGGTGTTACAGACGGACCCGAGGCCGGCGAAGGATTTGTCTTCTTGGGGGGATGGCCCCCCTCCCTCTTGTGGTTGTGGAGCTCGTCGGCGTCGGCATACAAGCCTCCGCGCTGGAGCGCCTTGGCGTACGACCTCGGGGGGTCGGTGATGAGACTCCTGGCGTACGGGGAGCTGCGGAGGGCTCCCTGGTACAAGGCGAGGAGGGTGCGCTCATCGGCCCCCTCGACCTCCTCGGTCTCCCTCGTCCACCGGTCGATGAATGACCGGAGGGACTCCTCGTGCTGCTGTTTGACGGAGAGGAGGTGGGTGAAATACTTCTTCGCGCGCTTCCTCCCGGCAAAGTGAGTGAGGAAGCGCTGGGCGAGATCCTGCCATGAGTCGATGCTTCCTTCTGGCAGCCCGTTGAACCACTCGTACGCTGGCCCCTCGAGAGTAGAGAGGAACCAACGGCAGAGGTATTCGTCGGACGCGTTCACCATTAGCATGTTGTTTTGATAACGGCTGAAGTGCTCCTGGGGGTCTGATCGGCCATCGTAGGACTTGATGGCGTTCCCCCTGTATTTCTCAGGGATGGGGGCCGAGAGGACCCTGTTGGTGAAAGGGGTCCTAGTCCTGACCTGGATGATGGGGTCACCCCGCCCTTCGCCCAGCTCCCTCTCCAGGGCGCTGACTTTGTTCATGAGCGCGTTGAGGCCAGGGTCGTTGGAGGCGCCGGCCGTAGGTATGTTGGCCGACTGCTTGGCCTCCATCTGAGCCAACCTCCTTTCCAGCTGGGCGATGACCTCGTCCCGGGGGTCCCTGTCGGCCGCGGCGGCACCCGGCTGGTTCCTCAGGCGCTCGTTGCGAGCTGCGTTGATCTGGTGACGCACGTCATCCTCGTGCAACTTCCCCTTGCCCTTGTCCGGGCGGGGCTGGTCCGCTGTCCGGGACACAGACCCCAAACTCTCCCTCGGCGAGCCAGGACGAGGATCACCAATCCGTCCCGCCATCCTCTCCGAAACCGGACGACGGCGCGTGTCACCTAGCCTATTGAAGGCAGAGGCTTTTCCACGCGCTGGGGTCTGCCCGGGCCGAAGAGGGGAAGCAGGGTGGGAGTGGGACGACGCCGTGTCCTGGGCCACAACCCCCTCATTGTTGCCTATCTGGACGGCCAACGGTTGGGGATGAGGAGGTGGAGTGACGTTTCCCCCGGTCCTTGGCAAGAGTGCGCTGAGGACGGTGGGATTCTGAGCCAAGCTGGCGATGATAGCCGATAGTGCGGCCTGGACCTGAGGATCTACGGACGGAGAGGTCGCGGCCATAGGCTGGGCCGGGGCGTGGTCCGCTTTCTCAGCTCGTTTCTTTTCCAGGCCGAGGCGGGCGTCGGGGACTCCGCCGTTGAGTTGGTTGCGGAGGTCCGTCGTGAGGTTGAAGGCCTCCTGGAAGAGGTCTCCTCCGCCGACCTGGTCGGCCGTGGCGTCCTCATCGTGCTCCCTGGGCTCTTGGTCCTCAGGGATGACTTTGCTGACGAGGTTGCGGTTTGACTTAGTTCTCCCCATGATCAGTGGTTAGCTGTGCTTGGTAGCGACGAAGGGTGCTAACTTGATTGTTCTAGCTCTCAACGAGAGCACCAAATGATAGAGTATATCTAGAGAGAAGTGAGAGCTAGAGAGAGAAGTGCAATAATATGCTTCAATAGAATGATTTTGTGACCCCTATAACTACTCCCAAGGGGAGTATTTATAGAGAAAATTAGGGTTGGGCTCCCAAGCTTTGGGCTTGGGAGGCCCATTTACAACTGGACCGCTACTGGGCCGAATACAAAGCCTCTAATGGGCTGTACAAATGAGTAAGTATAGGATCCGATTCTGGGAGGTCTTCGTGGCCGACGAGGGCGTGGCCGACGAGGGCACGGCCGACGAGGGCACCGGGTTCCTTGGACTCAGGACCATAATCCGAGTTGGCTTCTTCTCGGCCGACGGGGGCGTCTTGGCCGACGAGGGCGCCACTCTGTTGTCTTATGCTTTCTGTTCTTCCGAGTATGTGGGTCCTGGGGCTCAGACCCATATACTCCATCACTAATATTATTGTGTATCTTATTTTTCTTAAGGTAAATCATCTATAACAATATAAAAGAAATCATTATCCTTACATCTTAACTATCACTCAAACCCTTCCCTCCCACTAGACTCATAAAAACAAATAAGTCTTCTCACTCTCTGATCTAACGTAGAAAAGTTTTCCAAATTTGAACAAAACTTTTCGATGAACATGCAAAGATTTCGAAGCAATAATCGGCATTTAGAGTCTTGATACTTTCTCCCAATCTATCAACCACCGTAAGGGCGTAGCCAGGACAACAAAGAAGGAGGGCCAGAGCTCATGACAAACTTTTTAATAAATACAGAGTATTAAATAATAAAATTAACCAAAGTTTACATAAAAGTTGTTACAACAACACCAACATCCAAGCATTATTCTAAAAATATTTTGGAGTCGACTAACATGAATCGATCCATGATATCAGAACCAAAAAGAGAAGAAAGATAAGAAAAATAAAAATATAAGGTAAGATAAGTTGGATAAAATAAAAATAACATAAGAAGATAAGATAAATAATAGATAAAAGAGATAAAGGAAGAAAATAGATCAATCGTCCACATGTATATGCGCCCTCCACTTTGCTCTCTACAAAGTCATACTCTCATCCAAGCCAAGAAGAAACATATCAGTTCTGATACTTTTAATCAAAGTCTGTTTGGGTCTATCCCTCCCCCTCCTACCTACTTCCTCTTCCCACCTCTCAACTCGTCTAAAAAGTTAATTGCACTTGGTGATCTTTTACTTTGGCAAACTCGTCGATAACAAATTGTATATCTATTGTGCTAACAAATTCTCTTTCAATAAAAATTGTTAAATTCTCGCCGAGAAAGTCACCATTCATTTTATTTCAAAATCACAGTCTTGACATGCTTCATCACCGAAAATGCTCTCTTAGTTTGACCATAGAAACTGGTAATGTTAATACAAGATGTATCAAACTTGGAATCATTTTAAAGTCCTCAACCTTTCACCAACATTTCACATAAGTTCGCAAGAGTAGGAATTTAATTGAAAACCACGCTCACAGCCCGAGTACGAACATAAAAAATAAAAAGTACTTGTACATAAATCTAATACGAATGCAACTTTTATTAGTAAGGTGAGCCACCGTATAGCTCCACTTCCATGCCTGTGCTTATGTCCACTTTACCCGGCTCTTCAACTCTTTTACGTTTTAATTGAAATATATTTTAGTCTTTATAAATATAGTACATCAATTTTGTTTTACGTCTTTGTAATAGTACATTTGGAATATACTTAGAGCTCTACTTTAGTCCTAATACGGAGTATAAGTTATTTATAGTAATAATTGTAATCTCACAATGTTTTATTTTGATTGTAATTTTCAGGTCTACTCTATTTAAATCTAGTCTTGTCTGAACTAGTTCGATATAGTTTAAGAGATGTTTGTTGTATGTGTATTACGAAGTAAGTTTACTCTGATTTAAACTATGATCATTTGATTCTGTTTGAATGTATAACAAATCTAATTAAAAGCATGTTTAACAAAAAGTGACACGTTTTATGCTTATGCTTAGGAGGACAATAATCCAACTATGAAATGGAAAACCTGTGATGTATGAACGGAGTGATGCTGGGCGGACTCAGCCTCAACACACCGAAGTCTATGAAAATTCATAGGATTTGAATTGGTCGCTCTTTAGGAGCCTTTAACGCATTGTAAAAGTGACTTTGCATAAACGCCGTGCTTATCCATTAATGTATGGAATTATTGATAAATAATATATATATTCCGAGAGAGCAGAAGAGATCTGCAGGGTAACAATGGCTTCGCATTCGCTAAAGAATACTGCATCGCTGCCGATAACGACCGCCGATTCTTCTCCGTCGGAAAGATCGACGGAGGATAAACTCTTCAAAGGATCCTCCATGACGAAGCGTGGAGCTTTAGCTGCCGTCTCTTACATGTCCTGCGCGGGTATATTTTCTTCTTTGACCTGTTCAAATTTTGATTCCTTCTGCCATTCATTTTCGAATTTGAAAAAGCAGTAGAATTTCATGGTGGGAGTTTTCTGTAGTATTCACGGTTAAGTTTAGTCATGAATTAATTGATTGACCTTATCTGACAGCTAGAGTTTTAAAAACAATTTCTTTGAATTTGCAGTTCTGCTGGTGTTGTTCAACAAAGCAGCTCTCTCTTTGTACAATTTCCCATCTTCAAGCGTGATCACGCTATGTCAGGTATTACTGAAATTCGATTCCCCGGAAAATCTTTGTCTATTCCATTGAAGTGATCTCGTTTTACACCCTTCTGATGCTTCAATGCATATAATTTCATCAAGTGAACTTTGACTTTATTACCCTTCTCTATGGAAGAAACTTTGGATTGTGCTTGCTCTGTTATATTGAAGTCACATTTTTTTAAATTAAGGAACAAATTTTATATCAATCTGCTTCTTCGTCTACTAAATAGGACTAAAGTAGAGCTCTATGTATATTTCAATAACGGAATCAAGAAATTTGGGTTCGTATTATTGTATTAATGAATGTAATCAGATCAGTAAAAATTGAAGGGTCTCCAATATTTACTATCTTCCGGTGCTGATATGTAACATGTGATTAATCTTTCCAGTTGAAGTTATATATGCTTTGATTATTCCCAGCTATGCGTATGATACTATGATGTCATAATCCAGAGCTCAGATATTTCAGGTATCTTAGTCATTTACAAATGTATTACTTAATTGAACTCAGAAGTCTAATGAATTTGAATAAGATTCTCTTAGGTTTTTTTTTGTAATGGAACATAAACTTTATTAAGGAGAGGAAGGTAAGGTACACATAAAATGTAAAGGAAATACAAGAAAGAAAAAGGAAAGTACAGCAAACAACCTGCATAACAGTAACTCGGTAAGAACCCCTCCCGAGAAACCCTAAGAACTTAGTCAATGCGGAATAACTCCATACGTGATTGAGATATGGTCCTCATGAGATGTGACCTCTGATGCTTTTTTCGGTATATTTTAATTTGAGTGTTTAAATCTTCCATAGGCAAGCAATTATTCCTCGTGATGAGCCTAGCTGTGTTTCAAATTTGTTGATTTGTGTCAGAATCCCATAGATCCTCCATTGATGAAATAGGAGCCCTCTTATCAATCTCTGAAGCATGACCAAGAAAATCGTCTTCCGAGTAAGAAAAAATCTGTTCTCAAAAGATTCTTTTAGCTTAAGGCATTGTAATACTATGTATATAAGAAACACGGGGGAAACAAGAGTCACGAAGAGAGACCTATTTTTTAGATTGAAATCAACATGAGACAATTAAGGAAGACAACAGCCTAACCAATAACTGAAGAGACAGACATTGGAATCTTTCTTTTGATAGATTTCCCCCCTTTTCAGCCTATAGACTTAGTTTCGATAGCTTTGCACTTAGGTAGTCCTTGTATGTAATCAGGCAAGGATTAGTGGGGTAAATTGGTAATGAATCTGAATCTTATATACTAGTGTATTAGGGTTTGAAAAAAATGAGGTTATGTTTGGCCTAATTGAAAATGCCCAGATCTCCGAATGCGGAAGCAAAAGTGAATTTGTTCTAGATCAATAATTTTATATCAGAATTTACCATTATTGAACTCATTGATCCAAACACCAACTAACCCCCTGAATGAAGGTTGCACCTTTGGTTGGTTTGGTGGGATTGAGGTATGCCAACTACACCCTTTACATTCCTTAATTTCTGGGAAGCATAAAAGTTGCAGAAATGAATGCCAGCTTTCGTAAGAACTTTAGATCGAACTGTAGGATTTGAAAAGTAGATTTTAGATCAATATGCTAATGTTTTATGGCTGTACTTATTGTTGTGATTGGTTTAATGTGCTCATTAATGGCACTATAATCCTTTTATAGTTACAGGTTTTATGGGTTTGAAAAGTAAATTGTAGATTTCGTACTTCTTAATCTGGACATTTTGTGTTGATTCTGGTAGCAGTTTATGTGATTATGATTTTTTTCACTGCATGTTTTTTTAATGATTTTTCTCTATCTTCTTTTTCTTGGTTGTCTGTTGCAGATGATATGTTCATCTTGCTTTCTCTACCTTTTACGGCAATGGAAACTTATATCTTTTCATATGGCCGAATCCCCAACCATACCTGATAATTCCAAATCCTTAGTACCTTTAAAAACAGTGATTGCTACTCTACCTCTGGCTGTTACCTATCTCATTTATATGGTACATGTTTCATTTAAGCTTAATATTTAATTATTTATTTATATATATATATATATATATATATTATTTATAAATATTTCGTTGTCAATGAACACCACTTTTTTCTTATCTGGTTCTCCTTGAAAGTTAGTCACCATGGAGTCTGTTAGGGGAGTAAATGTGCCAATGTATACTACTCTCAGGAGGACAACCGTTGTTTTTACTATGATGATGGAGTATATTCTTGCAAAGCAGAGGTACACACGCACTATTGTTGGAAGGTATGTTCATATGCTTAGCCTTTGTTTAACTCTCTTTTTATTATAATTGATGTTATGTATAATATGCAGTTTTGGTAAATGCAAATAGCATACTTCGTATTAAATGTTTTGTTAGCAACCAGAATGGATTTTTTATTTATTTAAAAACACAAGGAAAATGAATTTTGTGAGTACTCTAGAAGGTAATCAGGTACACCAAAATGGAAAATCCTAAAAATGTATGGCATGGGTATATGTGTGTTTGCAAATATTAGAAAAGTATTGGTATTTTTATTACATGTTGTTTTTTCAAAAATTTTAAAAACAATATGTTAATTAATTCCAAGATAAACTATAAAGTTTTTAAAATATTGATATATATTACATTTAATTTTTAATAAAATAATTAAATAAATAATGGCTTAAATATGGGTTTAGTCCCTGCAAATATGACACACTTTGTTTTAGGTCCCTTCAATTTTTTTTTTTGTTTTTCATCCCTGTAACTGCTCTATTTTGTTTTTAGTCCATGTCCTACTCCAAAACCACTCAATTTGGGAAAAGAGTTATTACTGATTGGCGATTGCATAAATCTACTAGAAACTTTTAAATTTATCCTTTGATAATTTTTTTGAGACTAATGCGAGAGTTAAACAATGTAAAACTAAGTATTCACATATTTCAAATATGTATTAAAAACCTTCTGAAAGTTAAAAATAAATACTTTTTGAATAATATGACAAAGAATTAGATGAAGTCTTTTAGGCAGGGTAGTTTTTTTGTCAAATGGAAGTTGTTATCATCAGTGATGGACTAAAAAGAAAATCACCATAAATTTCAGGGATGATAAACAAAAAAATAATTTTGCACGGATGTAAAACAAAATGTGCTATATTTGCAGGGACTTAAAACATATTTAAACCATAAATAGTTAATAGTAAACATTAAATCTACATATGAATATTAGTAAAATACATATTACGGACTAGCCGGAGAAGTAATGATGGAACTCAATGGCAACTATTGTATCTGTTAGTGAACTTAGGAAAGAAGAAAGTAACTGTTGAGAAGACACTCGTATATTGGTCGTCTATCCTATGATATATGTGATGCTTTTTAGCATAACCATTAACTCTCTAATTTTGTAATTTAACTAATGGATGTATCAGTGTGGCATTGATTGTGTTTGGTGCATTTGTTGCGGGAGCTCGTGACTTGTCATTTGATTTCTATGGTTATCTCGCTGTTTTCATAGCCAACATCACAACTGCTATATACCTTGCAACCATAGCACGCATGGGTAAAATAACCTCTTTCATTTACTAACTTTCCGGGCAGTTCCTCACATGTAATTTTGCTGATACTTTCTATCCAACCAGGAAAATCAAGCGGGCTTAATAGCTTCGGTCTCATGTGGTGTAATGGTACTGCTATCCTTTCATTATCTTATTCAGTTGCTCACCAATCTTCATTTTGAGATGGAACATAATAATTGATCATTGTTAAATTGAGCTTAACTCGCCCCAAATTATATACCGTTCATCCTCAAGAAGTGAGGATGAACTCATCATATATACTAGAGATTCAAACCCATAAAACAACCATTGCGAGATATACTCAGCACACTCCTCAGCATATAACAGGTTGATCAACTAAACAGTGAACAAATGGGCTTAAACAGACCCCAAATGCGCTATCCTACAAACCACGATCAGACCATGCTTTGATTTCATGTTAAATAGGGTCGACCTCACCCGAAAAAATTCCCAAGAGGTGATGTTTACTTCACAGGCTCACACATAGTAGACTCAAACCCAATAGGCAACCGATCTACAATACTCAACAGTCATGGTTATATTTGATGTTAATTGTTTCTATTACAGGGGTTGTTTGTGTTCCATTCTTACTTATCTGGACATTTGTGAGGGGCGACCTGGGGGAAACTCTTAATTTTCCGTATTTGCTTTCACCTGGTTTCCTGGTATGATATAACTTACTGCTCAAGGAAACATCAAACATGATAGATATTCATTTGAGTCTAGTTTGTAAAACTGATCTTAATATGTTATAAATGCCATGCATCAAATCCATTGTGGGCCATGCTCTTAACCTCGAATTTATTTTCTTTTCATAATCATTTTCTTTGTGCATAGAGAGTAGTTATGTCATGTATTTGAACTGATGTTAGGGTATTACCCTGCAGGCTATATTGCTTTTATCCTGTATTTTGGCCTTCTTCTTGAATTATTGTATATTCCTGAACACCACACTGAATTCCGCAGTTACGCAGACAATCTGTGGGAATATGAAGGTTCATTTACCTACACTGATAGAGTTAAATGCTGCACATCACACTGCGAGCGACTAAGAGCCTGTTTGGATGTAGGATTTTGGAAGGGAAGATTTTGGAGGGCTAAGTGTATACCTTGATATATAAAACTGAGATATTACAAAAATTGAAAGAATAACATAATACACACTAAGCCATCCAAAATCTCCCCTTCCATTTCATTTTATCTAAACAGATCCTAAGCGTGACATATGGATGGACTGAATAGTTTTTTCTTGGGATTTCAATGGATAGACTGAAATCAATCAATTTAATCTTTTTTAATTGGAGTTAATGGGATTAAAGAAATTGCTCGTGAAAATGGATGTACCCAAAGAATTGATGATTCATTTTTTTTTTAAAACAACCCGATCTATCCATAATCCATTGAATAAAAAGTCTATCTTGAGCGATACGGTTAATAACTTGTCAAATGTTCTCCTTATGTAGGACCTTTTCACTATTTCACTTGGATGGATGGTCTTTGGAGGTCTTCCATTTGATTTGGTGAGAATATATAATCTTGTGTGTGTCCATTTCTGTCGATTTAAAGAAATTATCCAAAATAGGACTAAAAACGTTTATATATTCCAAAATAGGACACAACCATGTTTTGGCAGTACCAGACTTTAAACATGACAGTATTTTCCAAACATGGCAGTAATTACTCCTATTTTGGGAATAAAAACATGACAGTCATATTTTGGAATTTTCAATCTTTTTTACTCATATTTCAGGAATTTTCCTGTCGATTTATCACATTTTAAGCTAACATATGCTATGATAATAATAACAGCAACAACAATTGTAATAATAAGTCCTTTCCACTATATTTCCAGTTGAATGTTATTGGGCAGCTTCTTGGTTTCACTGGATCCGGTCTATATGCATACTATAAGCTTATCGGAAAATGATACGCTGAACTCAAGAGAACGATTTTCTTGGGGGTTAGATAAAGTTGCAGCATTTTTTGCAGTATTGGTTGAGGCTTCGGAAAGGAAACTGGAGTTAACTTTCATACAAGAATCCCTTATTCTTTTTGGAGGGATCAAGATCTGCTGTTTCATGTGTACTGTAATGTAATTTAAGCTGGGTAGGCTTTATATCTATTGCAGAAAACTGCTATATGAAATGTGATATATTTATGTAAGCAATTTTTTTTTCAAAAGGTGATGATGATTGACGAGGGTTAAGTCGGTGATACACACTAGTGTAGTGTCTTAGTGAGCGCCCTCGTGATATCATGCGTGGTTGGAACTTGCTTAAAAGGTGATGATGATTGACGATTGTTTTTATACGTAGTGCGTATAAAATAAAATATTAAAGAAAAATAAGTTCTGCTTCAATAACAAAATGTTTTTGCTTAAAATTTGCTTCAACCGTAAATTTGTTGTTTTGTTAGTAATAATAATAATAATGAATAATGATGAATATGTGACTAAATAAATGTAATAGAAACTTTAGAAAGTATGATAGTGATGGAAGCAACTTTAGCAATACTTTCATCTATGGATAGGCCCGACCCGGAACCGGCCCGGGATCGGCACTGTTCCGGCCCAGCCCGATCCGGTGGCCCGGTCAGTGACTGGTCCGGGTAGGCCTGACCCGTGGGTTTTCCGGTCCGGGCTCGGGTCACCCAAAACAAGGCCCGACCCAGTCGGGCCCGGTTCGTGCCAAAACTATATTTTTTTCAATTTTTTTTAAATTTCGGGTTGGGCTGGGTATTTGGGGTGGTTTGGGGGTTGGGGGTGGGAGGGAGGTTAATTAGGAAGACTGGAAGAGGGAGAAAAAATAAATTGATAATGGGCCCAGGGATGGATTTAAGGGGGAGCGCGGGGGGCGACCGCCCCCCTTGGACTTACAAATTTTTCTACAATATATTTAATATTTTCATAAAATTTTTATACTTTAATTAGATATATATGTGTTCGTCCCCCTTAACTTTTAGTTTTCAAAATTAATATATAGCCTTACATTATGAAATACTTAATTGGAGATTTAAAAGATGAAACATCTAAAATAATTTACATAACTTAAGCAAATAAACAATAGAACAACTTATTGTTCAAGACTTAGGATACCTATTATATAAAAATTCATAGTTTTGAAATATTTAATTATCTTTAATATATTAGATAATTATTACTCGATTTGTAAAATATCAAATAATATTATATACGAGACACACTAGTTAAACAGTTTTTCGATCATGTGAAATGAATTTAAAATTACACAATTCTTTTACTTCTTACTCTTTCAAAATAATTTATTGCATAGGTAATAAATTTTAACTTATTTTACCACAGCAAAAACAACATCCAAGCCTTAATCCCAAAAGAATTTGGGGTCGGCTAACATGAATCGATCTATGATATCGATGCCAAATAGAGAAGATAGACAAGAAAGGGAAGAAAAAGAAGTAAGATTAAACGAATAAAATAAAGATAAATAAATATAAGATAACAATAACACAAGAATATAAGAAAGATAAAAGATAAAAGATAAAAAATAAAAGAGCATAAAAAAGCTAGAGGATAAAAAATAACTTAAGAATATAAAAAGATAAAGAAGATAAACGATAAAATAAAAAAGAGAGGAAAGATAGAGAAGACATCAATCTAAGAATCAACGATATAATATTATTCTAAAAATAATAATCTCATACTACGTACATACTATACTTTTGTAATATTAGCAAAACTTGCAATTCAAAATTTGCAATTCAATAATATTATTCTAAAAATATCCTTTGTTATTTTCAAATAATTTTCGTTTGATTTGCTATTTCTTACGCTTTAATTTATCAATACTTTTTTCTAAAGCACCTACAATTATAAAATCAAAGTTATTTGTTCATTGTCTAAACTTAGAATGTAATATACTCCCTCCGTCCCGTAAACAACTTCAAACTTCGTTTTCACACATATTAAGGAAATAAACATACTGGGTGATAAATTTTACTGTATGGACACTGTTTCGACACTGTTTGGCACTGTTTGGTACTGTTTGGCACTTTTTGAATATAGAGAATTTGCCAAATAAGGAACTGGAAAGAAGTGTGAAGTTAATTTCGGGACTGTCCGAAAAGGAAAGTGAGAAGTTGTTTCTGAGATGGAGGGAGTATTTAAATATCATCATGTATGTACTTATTAATTCTTTTTTAATAAAAATTACCGCAAAGCCTTTCTAAACTAGCGGAAAAAAATCGCCCCACTGCACTAGCGAAAAAAAAATTCGCCCGACTACACTAGCGAAAAAAATTTCACAAAAAATTCGCCTCCTTTAACTCGAAATCCTAGATCCGTCCCTGAATGGGCCTGACCCGGCCCGGACCCGGACCGGACCCGGTGATCACCGAGACCGGTCCAGGGTCCACCACTCCTGAACCGCTGACCCGCCCGGGCCTAGGCCTGACCCGGACCCGGCCCAGACCCGAGTCCACCCCTACTTTCATCAATAAGTTATATACTTATATTGCCCATTTGCCCTAGTATTTAAGAAAAATCATATGATAGGAGTATTGCGGTCGTTTTTCAAATTTCAATATGAGTCCATCACTTTTCTTCCTCCTGTCCATGAAATCCCTGATGTATCTTCTCCCAACAACCCCTCTATCCTCACCTTCCTCCACTGTATCTTTGCTGTTTCAGTAATAGTTGTGACTTGTGATGAACCTATAAAAATATGTTAAATTCTTCGTGAAATACCAGAAAAAAGTCAAAAAATGGAGGACAAGATGATGGGACGCTAATTTTTGAAACTTCTTTAAATTAATCACGCGCTACACAATGGTCAATCCTTTATTTAATTACAACAAAATAAAAGCCCGTTATCAACTAACTGAATGTTTGCATCCTGCTAATTAAGGATAGATCTGTTGGGTTCTTTCTTTGTTTTTTGACCTATGAGGAAAGTCCAACTATTGAGTCCATTAAATTCTTATTTGGACTTTCTATTTCTATTTTGGGAGCTTCTAATTATTAAAGGGGTCAGCCACTATCTAAAACACAAGGACAGAGAGAGAAAAGATTGAGAGAGCAAAGTCACAAAAACATGAGGTGAAGCTCATCCGTTTTTCAGCAGGCAGCAGCAGAAAAGTTCCGTTTTCCATAGATTGAACCGTTGGATCGTCGTGATTTTTGGACAACATCTACACAGAATCTGGTCCAACATTCTGGACGGTGGAGATTGGGTTTTGAGGTCCGGAGGTTGGGTTTCGTTGGTCTGGACAGTAGCTACTTTTCTGGTGATATTTTTCTTATCTTGGCTCTACTTTGATTCCATACACCTTGATGTGTTTAGTTCCAAGGATATGATGATTTTGTATGCCTCTAGTATTATTTAGAGAAGACTTTGTACTGCTCCTTTTATGATGATAGTGGATTTAAGCGGCCAAAATGGTCCCGTGGTTTTTCCCTAGTTTAAGGGTTTTCCACGCTAAAATTCTGCTGTCTTTGTGTTGTTGTGTGCTTACTGTTTTAGCTGATTATATTGGTGTGTGACAGCAGTATTGTGTGTATTCTAATTGGATTAAGAACACCCTATTTGTTTGCATCCTCAAAGGTTCATTCAAGTTGGGAAAGTTTAGCCAAACAGACATTAATTCCGCATTTTATTAGTTACCGTTTGTGGCTGTTTTTTCCATCAAGCTTGATATACATTAACGGTCTACATGAACACCCCTATCATTGTAACATAGTGGCTCTGGCATTGTTTATAAAAAAAGTGGTCCCATTTCCCCCTACGGAGAGTTCAACTGGTCCTCAGTAAGATTATTGATTAAAAAATGTTACGTCTACACAAAATATGTACATCTGTGGCACACCAAATAAATTGCCTCTTTCGTTTCATTATTTCTCTCCCTCTTTCCTCCTCTCTCAGTGATTCATTCATTTGGTGTGCCAAAGATGTACACATTTTATGTATATCTAACATTTTTGTTACTGATTACAACATCTCCGATTTGAGTATAAACATAAGCATTAAACTATCTTATTGAACTATTCAATAGTGAACTACCCAACAGTGTGCATTAGATACTCATCCACCTTTTGATAAAACTAGATTATCACTTGTGCGATGCACAAATCAAAATTAAACATTAATTATGTTTTATTATTTCTTAACATGATTAGTGAAAAAAGAGTTCATATATATTGAATGTTTAAATGTATTAAAAGAATGATAAATGTAATACGTAATAAAAAGTTATACAAGAAGTTACAATTAGAAATAGATTGGTCAAAATTAGTGCAAACAATGACACAATGCTTTAAAAGAAGAATCAATATCAATATATATTACAATGTGCTTATGTATATATATTGAAACACTTCTATAAATAAAATATTTTTCAATTTAGAAGGTTTTGTCAAGGCTAGAGTATTCAAGTCCACAATTTGTTGACAAAACCCCAACAAATTTAGAATTGAATACTCTAGCCTTGGCTATTTGATCTCCTGTCAATTTAGAGCTCTAAGTATTTAAATTTGTTTGTGTAGCTATTAGTGAAGTAGAAATTGTAGAGTTGCTTTTTCTTACAGGTAACTATATATATATATATATATATATATATATATATATATATATATATATATATATATATATATATAGGGTGCGGTTCCTGTGAGAACACCCTCTTAGGAGAGTAGAAAAGAACAAAATCTAACTGATATGCACTAATTAGTAGTGCATAAATGTATATTTTTATGTTTGATTGATGTGTATTGTTTATCGTTTTATTAAGTTTGTAAACATTTGTGTGATTTTAGTTGTAATTGTATTTTAATCTTCATTTGTAAGTTGTAAAGTAGAATTAGGAATTAGGATGTTGGAAAGGAGGATGTTGAAGTGAAGAAAAAGGAAATTTGACTGTCCAGGAGCAAATACCCGACCGGGCATAAGACGTCACCCGGTCGGGTCTGATTCAACAATCGAAAGTGCCTGGAAAGTGCACTCACCTGGTCGGGTCCCCTACCCCACCCGGTCGGGTCTGACTTGACCCGGGACACTTTAACATGCTGAAGATCACCAGAACATGGAGGATATTTGATTTTGACATGCACCCGGTCGAGTGGGCACTTTACCCGGTCGGGTACCCGGCCAAAGGTGTTGTAAAACACCTATAAACAGCCCCATTTTCCTTCACTTTTATTCATCCCTTCTTCCATACTCCTAAGCTCAGTTTAGAATAGCATTTCTTATATTTTTATAGCATGTTTAGTCTCCAAATGAGGAGCTAAACCCTTCCATCTTGGTTTTGCTACTTTGAAGCTTAATGAATTTGTAAGTTGTGAGTTATTTTCTTTAATCATCTTCCTTGAATATTAATTCTTCTTTTCAAATACTATTTCTATATCAAAG